ACACATTTTTCTTATCGACATGAGACGTTCCTATTGATTCTGTGCTCCAATACCATCAAGGAGTCCATTTCTGCTCGCTAATATCTTAGAGAAGAGATCATCAACTTCCCTCCCTAAATTATCGATCAGCTTCTCGAAAACATTCACTTTCTTCTCCAACTCCTCAGCTGCATCGTTGCTTTTCCTTTCAACTATGGCCGATTCCAGGGAAGCTGCTGCCATGTTCAGCTCCCTAACCTCCTTCAATTCATCATTTTGCTCCACCATGACTCGAGAGAAACACAAATCCAGATCAATCAAGGAAGGAATACCTGCTTTTGCAGCATATTTTTTGATCTCCAAGTACGGTTTTGCATCTCCAGACAAGCTAGCCAAAACAACCCCTGACACCCAAAATCCAATACACTGTATTTCCTCCAAAGCTTGATGGATGACCTTTTCCTCCTCCGAGCAAAACTGTTCCTCCCCATCTCCCCTGTTAGTCCTCTCCTTAAGCAAGTCCTTGTTTAAACTCTTCATCTGGATTACTTTGAGATGCTTGACCGCCATGGAAGGCGAATTTTCTAGGAGACTCAAAGCATAACTCAGGGATAGCCGGGCCTGTCCAAGATGAGAAAGAGAAGAACTGATACAATTTAGAAATTCCAGCAGATTCAAACTGTAGTTGAGATACTCATCCACGAGAGCAGCTTCCCATTTGTTCATGGGGTAGTCTATATCAACAACCAGCTTTGCGAATGCCCTGTTGATGCATGGAAAAAGCTCAAAACAATGTTGAATCCATTCAAGAGACAGGATTTCCGATCCAGGCTTGGAATTCAACAACAGCTGATTCAAACAACTCAAAACATCGGATCGAAAAGCCTGTAAAGAAGCCGATAAAACTTCCGGTGGCTTGTTGTCGTGGTGGTGGCCATGAGAACGATGATGATGATGATGATGATTCTCCAGTTTGAAACAGATTTTGGAGATATCCTTTCTACCAATAGAACCATTGACCAAAAAAAACAGATATGCTATAAAATTTGTTTTGGGGTTTTGGTCACTTTTATGGGTAAGAATCCGGTCAAAATCAAAACGATGGGATTTATGGCAATTGGGAAAATGTTTGCTTTTGCTGGTCGGCAAGAAATCAACAGCGTTCAACAAAAGGAGGAAAATGAAAAGTCAAAAAAAAAAAAAAAAGAGCCTACCAACCAAACCAGCGGCAAAAGTCTAGTACTAGCCGCTCGTGTTATCTTATATAATAAGTTTTAACTTTTCATTGCATATTAAAAAACAATATCTTTTAGTCTTTCATTTATTAATATTAAAAAAAAAAAATTTTATAATATTTTGTTAATTTTATTAATTAATTATTAATTCTGTTAGTTAATTCTTAATTTTATTAACTAAAAATAAGTTTTTATTGACTAACAATTAGTTAACAATCAATTAATAGAGTACAGTCGATTAACAGAATAGTTTTGTTACCTGATTGTTAACTTTATTAACTGAAAATAAGTTTTTACTAATTAACAGTCAGTTAATAAAACTAATAAAATATTATAAGTAGGGTTATTTTTTTAATTTTAATAGATAAAAAATTAAAAATATCATAATATAAAATAAAAAATTAAAATCTACAAATTTAATAAAATAAAAAATAAAAAATATTATAATATAAGGTTAAAGTGATAAAAGGCTAACACTAGGTTTTTGCTCCAAACCAGCAGCGTGTCCTGTTGAAAATTCAAAAACAGGGGAGGAGACAAGTGGGTAGCAGTCACTAGGTAAAGCAGCTAATGCTTATCTTGCTTTTCTACTGGGAAAAACCTTCACATTAGTTCTCAAAGTTTACTTGTTTTTCTGATTTCATCCTCAATGTTTCATTTTTGTTGATAACATCCTTGAACTTTTTTGTTAAACAAAAGACAAATCCGTAAATTCCATTCATTAATTAAGCTATTGTTTAGTGTCATGCCAAAAACTGAAAATGATTTTTTCTTTAAATGAAAATGATTTCCAAAAGGTTAGTATTTCCTTACTTTTTCTAAAACCAAGAACTATAACAAAGTATGCTCATTTTCTTTACAATGTTTGTTCTTTACAAAAGCAAAACAAAAAATTACAAATTTAAAGAAATATTAAAAGGTACCTAAAACAGTAAAGCTTAATTTGATATCAATTTCTAGTAATTTAACCATTCCAAATTATTTTTACAAAAAAAAGTGGTTTTCAAATATAGCTTGACCTATAAATTTACTAAAATACTTTTAATAAAATTCTTTTCTATATCATTTCATTAATAACATTTTTGTGTAAAGTCCAACCTGAAAATAGTTGTCCCGCTAGGAATAGTTTTCGGGCTTGAATGATAACAAAAGTACTACAAGGGTGAAATGAACCAAACATTAAAAGTTCAAGGGTCAATATGTTATGTTTCTTCTTTCTAATGCTTAGTTTCCCCGAAACACGTTTTTGCCTTTTTGAGCAAGAAGGATGCTGGCCTCCTGTTGCAAGCAAGAGTCTTAACATGCAAGAAAAACACTTTTATCATTCTATGATTAAGATATTTAAAAAAAAAAATGTAGTTTTAGGTAGATGGCATTTATTAAACGTTTCTCATACTAATGGATGCGTACATTAGAGAAAACAGGCTTGTTTAGTCAAGGGTTAGGTCAAGGTTAGAGATGATTCATGGAAGCATCTTTCTTTCAGGGCAGATTAATTAAGGCAGAGGAGATGGGTAGAAAGTTGGAGAATATCTGCACAACTCCCAGCACAGGGTACCTGCATGTTCTTGATAGAAAATGGCATCTGCTTGACTGCTTCCTCATGCAATTTTGAGAACTTTGCAGCGAGTTTCGCATTTATGGTGCCTTTATATTTATAAAAATGGCAATTCGGTTCTGGGACTTTAATTATGAACAATTACGTCCCTTGAGCTTAGAAACTTGAATTGATCTTAGACAATGTGGGCTAGGCTGATGAAATGGGTGTTAGGGATGTTAACGAGTCAAGTTGAGTATCTAAATGTTCAAGCCTGGGCTTGCCTAAGTTGCCTTAAATACTCAATGAGTTCAAGTCGAGCTCGAATGTTTATCGAGCTTAAAAAGATTGAGTTGAATATTTATTGAGTTTAAAAAGATCCAGCTCAAGCTCTAACTTGTAAATATTTGATTGAGCAAGCACTAACCATTGCTCGTGCACCAGGCTTTGGCCCATCTTTTTCAACAATTTCAATTGGGTCCCCAAATATAGTTTTATTGCTTGGCTGGCTATACCTGTCCCTACACTACTCATATTTGGGAAAAGATTTCTTCTATGCTGGAAATCCCATTAAACTGCATTTGGCAAGATGCTTTGGATTGGTTATGTAAGAGAGTTAAACGTAAGGCATTGTATAGCTCTCTTCTTAAATTAGCTTGGTGTGCATCAATATATCATATATGGATTGAAAGAAACAGCAGGATACATAGACAGCTATACAGATCTCCTTCTACAATAATTGATATGATTCAAATGGATGTCCGAGACAAAGTATTGGGGTTTGTAAAGGAAAGGTCTTCTTCTATGTTAAGGAAAATTGCAGCTCAATAGGGATTAAAAACTTTATGTACAGCTAAGATTTGATCATACTTTAGTTTAGAAATTATTTTATTCTTTGTACTGACATTAGTAGCAGCCTTAAAAAGAGCTGCTTTGTATAGATTTTGGAAATAAATTCACATTTTACCAAAAATAAAAAACAATTTCAATTGGGCAACGAAATTGGAATGGTTTAGATCCACTTGATTTATTTGTTATTTTATTAATTATTAATGAACTAAATGAATGAATGGTAGGATTAAGAGACTTTAAATTTGAATTTTAAGTTGTAAATATATAGTAGTATAAATCAAAAATAGAGGATAATTACTTTTTGTTGTACAATTTAATATCAAAGATAACATAATAATCAATTGTACAATAATAATGATGGTCAAGTTCTACCAACAAAACAGTGGGGGCATAATCTTCTTTTTTTTCTTTTTTTTCTTTTTTTTTTTATTTATCTTGGTTGTATAATAGGAGACAATCATCTCCTATCTCTTATCTCACCCTACCCGTATGTCATGCGACTCGAACTTAAAATTTCTTATTTTCAGCGAAAAAAAATGATCATTTAATTATTTAAATCGTTATGGTATAATCTTCTTATGAATGAAATCCTCCATATCAAAACACTTGACAGACATTGTCCTTAACATTATCAAACAGTCCAAAGTCCATTCAATAAAGAAACGTAGAAGAATTTCCCTTGTGATTTAGGTCCCATATTTATGAATGCTAATATTGGTTCATCACCAAAATATAATTAATTAATTACTATTCCTATATTAGTGCTTAATATCTGCAAGGATTTGTTTGATTCTAGACCTTAATTTGAGTGGATGATTCACTGCTACAGCTGTAACAGCTATAAATGCAATGGTTTTTTGCTAAAATAAAATCTCTAGAATATCACCTCTTAACCATTTGTATGCAACAACCAAATATATAAGTCACAGTTTTAACCATTAGTGGGTTCTTAGCCAACTAATTTCTAGCTGGTATATCTCTATCAAAAAACCTTTTACAGCTAGGTATGGGATTATCAATTGGGATTCCTTTGGTATCATTTGATTGAATTTTGATAATCATATAGTAATAGTTAAATTAAGATTTCCACAATATTATTATTAAGCTAATTACATGAGCTTAGGCTAATTCTACTCGGAAACAATCATAATTGTAACAGTATATTATTTTCTAATGAACATGAAAGGAAAACTATTTTTCAAAAAAGGAGAAGGAAAATAATTTTTTTTTTAAAAAAAAAATTGTTCTTGCCAAACACATGCTAAGGTTTTGTTTAACCATACTTGCCACAAAACTTTTGCACACAATATCTTATATAAAAATATAAATTTATTATAATTAATTGATTTTATATATATTTTTAAAAAATACATATTAGTCTTGATTTTAAAAAATAAATTAAAATCTTAACTTTAAACGATATCTTTTTATTGACTCATTAAAAATTAATTCAAAATTTAAAAATAATTCTCATTAAATATTAATATCTAAATTTAAAAATTGATTATATTAAAATATATAATTAGTATCCAAATCTAAGTTTTAACATTTAATAAAATAGATTTTTGAATTTTAAGATTTTAATTTGCAATGTAAATTTAAATTCTAATTTTTTTTAAAAGTGATAACTAATAGATATTATCCTCATCTACTTTTATTAATTTTAATTAATATTATAAAATTTTGATAGTGTACAGTCAAAGAAACAGAAAAAATCTAGAACTACCGCAAAAACAAACGCATTACTTCAACAAAGCATAAACTTCTAAACTCTATTCTTTATACATCCACCACGTTCCAAGAACAGCCCAAAATATCTAAAAGAAATTGAATGTTTCATTAGTTGACCCAAAATATTCTCCAATTGTAACTCACATGGCATAACATGATTGGTATGATTAACAACAATTCATCAATCTAATCATCCAGACTACATATTGCAAAATTCTTAATATTATCTCTTCTGTTATATGTTGACCCAAATTACTATCATGGTTCTTCCATTCCATATTTCGTATAAGTAGGCAGTACTTTTGGGATCCAAAATCCCACAATCCCAAACTTATTTTCCCAATTCACTTCCTCGAAAAAAAATGTTTGGCAAAGAGAAAAACCCCTGTTTTCTTCTTGCCCTGTTTGTCATTCTTCTTTCATGTTTTGTAGCTGAAATTCATGGGAAGAAGCAGTCTAAGGCTCTTGGTCATCTCTACAGGGAGAAGAGAAAGGGAAGTAATTCCAGTGTCGATTCGGGTGTTTTCCGGGGAACTCACAATGTAAATGCGAGCAGGATTCATTCTCAGAAGGGATTGAAGGAGAAAGACAGAATTGTGAAGTTGCCTGGACAACCAGAGGTTGAGTTTTCACAGTATGGAGGGTATGTTACAGTCGATGAATCTGCTGGGAGGGCTATGTTTTATTATTTTGTCGAAGCTCAACACTCTAACGACTCTCTCCCTCTCCTTCTCTGGCTCAATGGAGGTAATATGAACTTTGGTGTTGAAACTTTCAATTGCTTTTTGACAATGCAGATTGATTTTCTGTGCTTTTCCTTTTCATTTTCTTGAGAAACAAACAGTGAGATAGAAAATATCCGATAAAAATCTGGGGAAAATTTCATCATTCACATGATTCACCCCTGTTATGCTTAAACTAATTGTTAATAATAAAAGTTCACGAAAAGTTGTCTACGTATCTTTAACCGTCGCTATAAGGTTTATAATCATGATATATAATTTTCTTTAAACCCCTTTTTCATTTTTATAATGATATTGATATGCACAACTTGGACGTTGCATTTTTTTTTTTTTTTTAAATTTGAAGTTGCATCTATCCTTTGACCCCTTCCCCATCCACAGGTGGGTCACCGCCTTCCGTGGCGGAGGCAGAGGTTCAAATCCCATATTCCACTCCTCAAGCAGATTTTTCGCCGTGCACATAAAGCAAATTAAAATATAACCATAGTTATTATCTTTTTTTTTTCAAAAAAATCACAGTTTGACTTTGTTGTTAATCACAGGGCCGGGATGTTCATCCCTTGGTTATGGAGCAATGGAAGAGCTTGGACCGTTCCGTGTCAACAGCGACGGTAAAACACTTTACAGAAACAGATTTTCTTGGAACAAAGGTGAAAGACCGATCCTCCTCTTCATCAGTTTTTCCAAGTCAATTCTCAATTTTTAACAGTTTGATTGACTTAGATTTTCTTGGTTAAGCTGCAAATGTCCTGTTTCTTGAGTCCCCAGCAGGGGTCGGGTTTTCATACTCGAATAGGACGTCCGATTACCAAAAGAGTGGTGACAGACAGACTGCGGAAGACAACTTCGTCTTCCTGGTAAACTGGCTGGAGAGGTTTCCGGAGTATAAAGACAGGGAATTCTACATTGCCGGTGAGAGCTACGGCGGACATTATGTTCCTCAGCTTGCACACACCATTCTCAACCACAACAAGAAGGCCAACAAAACCATTATAAACCTCAAAGGAATAATTGTATGACCCTTTTCTTTGATTTTCAATTTTTTGATAAGGGAAACAGAAGTGACAGCCTGAACTTTTTTTCCTGGAAATTTTGCAGATTGGGAATGCGGTGATCAACGACCAAACAGATACGGAAGGAATGTTTGATTACTTCCACAGCCATGCTTTGATATCAGATGAAGTGGCATTCACTATAAAAAAGTACTGTGATTTTTCACCCAATGCGACCTCCCTGTCCAGATTCTGCTCTGCTGCTCTTGATGAGGCTGAAGAGACCTTCCAAGACCTCGACATTTACAACATCTATGCTCCTCTATGCACCCAAGAAAACCTCACAAGTCGCCCTCAGAAGCCTTTGGTGAGTTATTTGTTGATTTGTTGAATGAAGACTTTCGTCCAACAGTTGATGATCGTTCCTAATTTGCTCCGGTTGTGAGCGCAGGCGATTTTTGATCCATGCAGTGATAATTATGTTTCTGCTTATCTCAACCGGCCGGACGTTCAGGAGGCCCTCCATGCCAACGTCACTGGACTGAAATTTGACTGGCAACCTTGCAGCGACGTTCTTGGAAATTGGCAAGATAGTCCATCCACGGTCATTCCTCTTCTGAAGGAGTTCATGGCAGCCGGACTCAGGGTCTGGGTGTACAGGTAAAGAAAAGGAGCAGTTTTTATTCTTTTTTTGGGTTTAAAACTTACAAATTCCTGGACCTCTAATGTTTTCAAACTTTGCAATAATAATCCTTTGCAGTGGGGATATAGATGGAAGAGTTCCGGTGACTTCAACCAGGTCTTCCATTAACGTGATGAAGCTGCCGGTGAAGACTGCTTGGCATCCTTGGTTTCTCAAAGGAGAGGTCGGTGGCTATACTCAAGTTTATGGCGGAGACTTGACATTTGCGACGGTGAGAGGAGCGGGACATGAGGTGCCGAGCTACCAACCGAGGAGAGCTCTTTCAGTGATCAAGCATTTCCTGGCCGGCACACCTCTGCCGGGTGCTTCACAAAATACCTGATTTTCTGCTCTGTTTCGTTGGGGTTTTGGGGAAGTTTTCTGAATTGATTTTCTACATGATTTCTCAACTGAGAAGTAGAGATAATTCTAGTTGAAAGATTGAAATCATATATATAGTCCATGATTGATCTCAAAATCTGGAAAGAAAGCAACAAGAAATTCAAATCTATTTGCCTGGAAATGAAATAAACAGAGTTTACAGAGCTCATAACCAAAAACAGAATTCAGGATGTATCAAACTGCAGACTTTTTTATTCCAAGTTCTTTTGAGGTTGACTTTGATTAATGCAAGCATAAAATTATGAGAAAGAAGGTTCCCATGACATGACCATTAGAGGTAATGATCGTGGATTATCATTCTCTGTATATATTCTTCCAATCTTGTAGGCTGTAGCTCTATCTTGAACAAATGTATTTGGGCATCACTGATATTCCTTCCATCCGTATGTAGAAAATGTGAAATCTGCACAAGTTGAAAATATAAGAAATCTTTGGCAGCAACCTAACCTATGGTTAACATACATTCATAACAAATGGAAAAAAGCAATCATAATACGTTACCCCAAAAACATCTTGCAAAAGTTTATTGAACATCTGCTGTACCTTGTTGAATTTAATCTGAAATTGCAGTGAAAAGGTTATTACGAGAAGAATCATGCAGTTGTATGGCAAAAAGTCTACCAAAGAAAGTAGTGTAACAAAACTTGATCTAAACATAACTGAGAACATGGGGAGATTACCATTCTACCTCCACGTTGGGAATGTGGGCTACCCTCGTGGAGTAAGCTCCTGTCTTCTTCAAGCATTTTCGTTTTAAATGTTTACAGTTTCTGATACAAAGTCTTCCAAGTGTTGCAGGCAGGCCTTCCCTTGGCAAGTGTCTCAACTTTGGACAGTCAACAACTTCTAGTTCTTCAAGTGAGGTCAAGTTTTGCAGTGCTGAGGATAGAGATTCCAGATTGTTGAGTCTTGCAATGAAAATCAAGCTGAGGCTCGTAGGAAGCAAACAATTTTCATCCGGGAAAGAAGTTATATTAGGGGCACCAGCAATGTTGAGCTCTTTAAGAGAGATTAGAGATTCCAAGTTCCATTCTGACATTGGCTCCTTCAGATTTATACAATCCCAGATCTCAAGCAACAATAATTGTGGAGGCAAATCACCTTTAGGAAAGATCATAAGACGTGGACAGTCACAAACTGTTAAATATTGAAGAGAAGCAAGATTTTTCATCCTCTCTGGCAGAGACTCAAGATTGACACAGCTGTGGATTTCTAACGTTCTCAAGGTGGGGGGGAGGCCTGTCTCTGGGAAGGAGATCAAAGCAGGACAACTACTTATAAATAACTCAGTCAGATGTGCAAGGCAATGTAGGCATTCAGGCAAATATCTAAGAGTAGCATAATTCCACAGACCGATGTATTCAAGTGATGCATTGTTGTGTAGCAGCTGCTTTGAAAGTGGCTCCAGCTTTGAGCAATCTGAAATCTTTAATGTTTTAAGACTAAATGGTAATATGCCTTTGGGAAAGCAAGTTAGAGAAGGGCAATCATCAATCTCCAAGCTCTCAAGATGAGATATGTTTTTGCTGTTATCATTTTGCATGATTCCTTCAGGTAAAGACTGCAGATCTCTACAACCTCGGATTTTCAACCTTTGCAACTTGGTAGGCAAGATGCCTGTTGGAAAGGATGTGAGGGAAGGACATTCTTCAATCTCCAAGTCTTGAAGAAGATAGTCAGTAGTCCTGTAGTTAGGGATTGCTGTCCAATTAGGCAAGGTTATAAGAGCTGCACAATCTTTGAGCTTAATACGTCTAAGAGTGGACAAGCAACCTATCTCAGGAAAGGATAAAAGTTTTGGGCATGATTCAATTTGCAAGCTTTTGAGAGACAGTTTCTCCAAGTTTCCACTGTTCATCAATTCCACATTTTCCACACCACAAGGAAGACCTTGCTCATTTTCTACTAGAGACACAAATTCAGAGCAGCCTTTAATTTTCATATGCTCAAGAGAAGCAATGTTTTTCAGCCCAAAGCCCCTCTGCCACAAATATATCAGCTCAGTGCAATTTGAAATCTCTAGGATTTGAAGTGCACCTAGAGTCTCTAGCATCTCTTGTGGCAGACATGAAAGGTCCCTTATGCCCCGAATCTTCAATGTGGTTAGGGAAGTAAGGTCAACAATATTTTCCAGCCTTACTTTGTTGCAATCTTCAATTTTTAATTCACAAAGGGAGGGCAGGCTTGTAAGTGAATCCCCCAATTTTGGGCAACGACTAATGATAAACTTCACAAGGGAAGGAAAGCAGCTTGGTAGGTTTCCAATCAGTTTTGGACAATTTTGAATTACAAGCTCACGAAGAGAAGGAAATCCATCATCCAAATCCACATTAGTCTCTTGAGGAGAAGACCAGCATTCCCATTCTAGCATATTCTGAAAGCAGAGAACTTCTAAGGATGGAAACCACTTAGTAGACACAAAATCATCTCCATAGAACTCAAAACCCACCTTTTTGACTCTGTTCATGCCTTGGATGGACACCGTCCTCAATGATGGCAGTCTCCCAAGTGATGGAAGTGACATGCTTCCACTACAATTATGGAGTTTTACTTCCACAACATTAGTTAATGAGGGATCTCCTAACCAAGATGGAAAGCTTTTACCACCATAAAACGAAACTCTAAGTCTTTTCAAATTCTTATTAGGTTGGAGCATATCAAGAACATGCACTTCATCTTCTTCACTTTGGTAATCAAGGAACTCATTCCATTTCAAATCTAAGGCATCAAGACACTGCTTATCCATTAGATTAACAAGCCTAGCATCCTGAACATCCAACACATTTTCCAACCCCATAATGCAAAACTCTCCTTTTAGATGCATCAAGTCCTTCAATTCTTCAATGCCAAACTGATTGTCCTTTCCCACAATGAACTTGGACAAAATTTGAAGGTTTTTCAAATTACCAATACGCAGTGGCATCTCCACTAATTTCTCAGTATCAATAAGATCAAGAACAAGAAGATTAATCAGATTTTCAATACTTTGTGGCAATTTAGTAAGCTTCTTGCAGCCATGCAATAAAAATGTTTGTAAGTTGAGTAAGGAACCCACAGATTCAGGTAACTGTTTAATTGTAGTGTAAGACAAATTAAGGTACCTCAAGTGCTCCAAATGACCAATAGCATATGGTAGTTCGTCAATGTGGTAGCCACTCAAACATAGCACTCTTAAGGATCTTAATTCTGCCACCAACTCCTGCAACACATTTTTGCTCATGTAACAACATGCTGCCCGAGGTAATGTATCAATTGGTAATGCTATGAAAGTCCGTAAAGACATAACTGGATCAAATATTTCAAATCTTTTGAAAATATCATATTGGCGACGAATGAATGACAAATGACGAAGCTTTTCAGTACTTGCATGCAGTTTATCTCTAGAGTTATCCTCAAAATGAAAGCATGTTTCTCTAGCAACAGATTGGGCTAGGCCATTTATAAGGTCATGCATAACAAACAATGTTTTGTTGCTATTTGACCTTTGGAAAAAAGACCTTGAAAGTAAATCATGAAAATATGCAAGACCTAGATCCCACACTTGCTTTTCTCCCTTGGCTTCTTGTATCAAACCCTCGGCCATCCATAGTAGAACCAGCTCATTCTTGTCAAATTCATAGTCTTTTGGAAAAATAGCACAATAGGCAAAGCATCGCTTCAAATGGGAAGGAAGATGATGGTAACTCAACTTCAGAGCAAGAATGATGCCACCTTTTTCTTTTGGTATGTCCCATATTTTGCTCCTTAGCATATCTTCCCACTCATCAGAATTTACTTTACCACGCAGGAGCCCACCTAGTGTCTTGGCTGCCAATGGTAATCCTTTGCACCTCTTCACTATCTCCTCACCTATTCCTCTTAGAATTGGGTGTCCATCAAAATTACTAGCTCCAAGAGCATGTCTGGCGAACAGTGAAAGGCAAGCATCATCAGACAAGGCCTGCAAATGGTACACCCCACATGTTGTCATGATCGATGCAACCCTTTCACTTCGAGTCGTTACAAGTATTTTGCTACCAGCTGCTCCCGCCATGAAGGGTCTACGTAGAACATCCCACCTTTCATAGTTCTCGTTCCAAACATCATCTAAAACAATCAAAAACTTCTTTCCAGAAAGCTCCTCCCTCAGCCTCAGTTGAAGCGAATTTATGTCGCCCTTGGAATGGCAACCCTTCTTAGTGACAGACTGCAATAGAATCTTAGTCATCCTAACAACATCAAAGTTCTCAGAGACACAAACCCAAACCCTCAATTCAAACAAGTTTTCAACTTTCTCATCATTGTATACTAACTGAGCAAGCGTGGTTTTACCCATTCCCCCCATTCCCACAACACAAACCACACCAATGTCACCAATTTCAACATTCATCAACCGTTGAAAAATCTCATCTTTATCCATTTCCCGGCCATAAACCCCAGATTCATCAACAAGAGAACTCGTCGAACGCAGCCCATCCCTTACTCTCTCCAATCTTCCTTCACCACTTCT